TAGAGAGGAGAGTCTGCTGGAGAAGGATCAAAGGTTTTATGGAGTAGCTGATCGAGGAATGTGAAATGAAAAGACAAGAATGAAATGACTTCTCCACGGTGAGTACAGATGAGTTCATTTCAACATTTGATCGTGATTCATGGTTATTTTAATGTTAAAGCTGTAAGAACTATAAATGAGGAGTAAACCTCTCAACAATTTCCCGACAGTTAAACTCAATCTCCTAAAACACACTTTCCTTATGAATTCATGATAGTTTGACATGTTGAAGATACTTAAATGCTCTGTTTGTGTTTGTCAAATATTAAACCAGAGGGAGACCCCCCCCACACACACACACACGTTTGTACTTCTATCTTGGTGAGGACACTCACTGACATAATACATTCCCCAGCCCCTTACCTTAACCTTAACCATCCAAAATAAACGTCTAACCCTAATCTTAACCCTAACACTGAGTCTTAACGCCCATTGAAAAAGTGAGGGCCGGTAAAAATGTCCTCACTTTCCAAAAATGTCCTCACACACACACAAACAGAGAGAGAATATGTGCTCCTGCAAACATGTAAACATTTAATACATAATGACGTGTGTTATCTAATTAAGTGACAATTGTCCCCGTCACACCCTCTGTGCTCTGTAGGGACCACTGGCCCATCAGAGAGTTACATCACAGCGATAACATCACAGGGATGATCGCACAAACAGGAGACAGGAGAAACCGAGCTGAGACACATCGCTGCTGTTTGCGATCATTTGATTCTTTTTTTCTTCTCATTTCTACTCATTCCTACTTTTCCTCAGCCTCGGTTCGTGCAGATCTACAGGACACCTGTGAGCTATGGAGAGAAGCGAGAGGACAGAGAAGAGGTGGCTTGCTGTTGATGAGATGAGGAAAATGGAAAAGCAGGAGATAAATGAAGATGTTTTGGTGCTGAGCCTTGAAGAAGAGGAGGGTCAGGAGGTTTCGGACACTGAGGATGAGGAGGAGCAAGGGTGCACTCCACTTATCAGTGCCTGTAGTAAAGGCATGGTTGAGGTATGATGTATGTGTGTGGATGAAACATGAGTTGGCTTATTGATGTGCTATCAGGGTTTTCCGTCTGTTACCTTACTGTTATAACACAGGAGCTCTGACATCAGTCCATAGTTCATGGTAAAAATAAGACATGTTTACTTGCATGTGGAGATCCAGGTGACTTGGAACTCCCTGTTTGCATAACATAACAGGAATTGCATTCTCTTGGGGAGCAGGTTTGAAACATGCACATCTTACTGGCAACACAGGGAAGACACTCCCCCTGCGAAGTGATCTAGTCACTCAATTACAGAAGATATTATATTGAATTCTACAACTAAAAAATAGAATATACTAAAACAGAATATTTTTCAATTCATTTGTGGAAAGGTGGTGCAGAGGTTGATGAAGACAGGGGCTGATGTGACCCTGTGTAACCGCAGCCAGGAGACAGCGCTCCACGTAATCCACCCTGAGCTCCAGGGAAAAGTGCTTGGGTGGATGACGAGGCCTCATCTGCCCCCCCAGGCCCGGCTGCTGCAGGCCTCTTGGCAGGGAGACGTACACACCTTACAACAGATGCTGGTGAAGCTCCCACACACACATGCACACACTAACACTCCCACCGGGTGTTCGGGGATTTCCCAGATGAGCAAATGCAACAGAGGGCCACAAATGTGTTCCAGTTTGGAAAACACAACTGGGTATTCTGTTTGTGTTCATGAATTATTTATATTTCAATTAGATTTATTATTCATAACTCAGCCATTGCATTTGTGG